CCCGATGATATGGGAACACCCCAGTACGGGTGTGCACAGACCCCAAGTCCCCCCCTTGTTGCTTCATCAGGGTCAGGTTCTCATGGGAAAATCTCAGGTGGATTTGTACATCGTCATCAGTGCTTATTCGGGCCAAGTATAAGAAGAGGACTTCTTTGTTGACGGGACTTCTTTGTTGACGGTTCACTGTATTTCGTTGGCGCGTCTTGTTGCTTCCAGCCGAAATGCTGTCCTGTGCGACGCTAGCCGTTATCAAGAGATTTTACAAGGCACTGATCGCAGCGGGGAATGGTGCACTAGCAACGCTAAGACCTATCCATGAGCCCTCTGCCACTCTTGGCCTCCAGTCTCTTTGTGGGTATCCTCCAGAGGGATGGGCGCTTCAGCGGGGAAGGGGAGGACTAGGAAATTTTGAGTGCTGTGGCCCCCCTTTTTGGTTCCGCTTGACTGTGTCCTCCAACTAGAGGGGTGCAGATCGCATGCTGCACAACCGTGGCTGACCTCTCGTCCCTTGCCCTTCTTCCCTGCTTCTCCTGTCGTCTTTCCCCGCCCCCACCTCCAGAAGAAGGCAGCGGACGCTCTCGTGCCCTCCGTCGAGTCGAGTCGAGGAGGAGGAGGAGGAGGAGGAGGAGGAGGAGGAGGAGGAGGAGGAGGAGGAGGAGGAGGAGGAGGAGGAGGAGGAGGAGGAGGAGGGGAGAGGAGGGGAGGAGGAGGAGGAGAGGAGGAGGAGGAGGAGGAGGAGGAGGAGGGGAGGAGGAGGAAGGAGGAGGAGGAGGAGGAGGAGGAGGACCGGGAAGACCAGGAGACCACAGGAGGAGCCTCGGCGCTGGCGGCGGCGTTGGCGGCGGCGGCCGCGCCCCCCCGCCCCCCGCTGCAGGACAGCCTGGGCGGCCTGCGCGAGGAGCTGGACGCGCTGCACCCCGCGCTGGAGGCGCGCGGGGCGCGGCGCCGCCGCCGCGTCCGCCGCGCCGCGCCCCCGAGCGGCGCTCCTCGGGCGGCTCCCCGGCGGTGGCCCGCGCGGCGGCCCTCGGGGGCCCCCGGCGGGCGGCCCTCGGGTCCGCGGAGGCCCATCGGAGGCTCTCGGGGTCCCTCGGAGGCCTCGGAGAGGGGGAGGAGGGAGGAGAAGGAGGCGGGGGGGGAGGAGGAGGAGGAGGAGGAGAGGAGGAGGAGGAGGAGGAGGAGAGGAGGAGGAGGAGGAGGAGGAGGAGGTGGAGGAGGTGGAGGAGGAGGAGGAGGAGGAGGAGGGGGAGGAGGAGGAGGAGGAGGGGAGAAGGTGGTGGAGGAGGGGAGGAGGAGGGGGAGGAGGAGGAGGAGGGGGAGGAGGAGGAGGAGGAGGAGGAGGAGGAGGAGAAGCAGGAGCAGGAGGAGGGGCTCTCCCGGTCCTTGGTTGTCGTCGCTGTCGCCGCCGCCGTCGCCATCGTCGCCGTCGTTGCGTCGTGCGTTGCGTCCTCGTCGTGTAGTCGTGTCCTCGTTTTCGTCCTCGTCCTCGAGGTCGTGGGTGTCCTTCTCTGCCCGGGTGACAGGGCGCCATTATCACCGAGATGCCAAATCACGCGTATGATAGTGAGAGTGGTTTCTTGGAGCATTGTTCCCCGGCGACCTCCGCCTCGATGGCCATGAACAGCAGCGCCAGGTCTTCGAGCGCCGCCAACGGCAACCTCTCGCAGTCCACGGGCGACATGCGATCGACACCGTGACCCGCGCCCGCGCGCATGCTGCGCGCTGCAAGCCTGATATCCTCCCCCGTGATCGCAGGCAGAGGCTCCAACCCTCTCGCAAGGCCTCGGCGTCAGGAGGCTTGGGGGCCCACTTCCCCCTCCAACGCTCCGCCTCGTGATGCTCCAGGGAGTGATCGAGGATGCGACCGTCGACCTCCATCTCCTGGCCGACTGCGGGCTACTGTAGGATGCTGCGGTGTAGCGTGCCCAAGGCGGCGCTGGACTCCGTCCATACCCCGAAGCCCCTCATGGCAGCCGTGACCGCCCACTCCTCTCTCCCTGGATTCTGTCCGAGTGGGGTCTCCTTCTCCCCGCATAATTTCTGTTACGCGTAGGGTTTCAGCAGTCGTCGTTCCTCATGTTTCAAAGTGGTGTTCCCGCTGCAGCGTTGGCCTCATGTCAGGATTGACGATGTGCTCCTTCCCGCTCCTCCCGCTCCTGCTGCTGCTGCTGCTGTTGTTTTTTTTCCTCCTCCTCATCCTCCTTCCTCATCCTCATCCTCATCCCCAGCCTCATCCTGATCCTCATCCTCATCCTCATCCTCATCCTCATCCTCATCCTCATCCTCATCCTCATCCTCATCCTCATCCCCATCCTCATCCTCATCCCCATCCTCATCCTCATCCTCATCCTCATCCTATTCCTCCTGTTCATTCTCCTGGTCATCTGTCATCTACCACCTCCTCCAAAGGGCACAGCTCCCACCTCTGCGTGCGCATAACAAGATGGGGTGATTGTGGGCACTTCAGGTCCGCTGCGACGTCCGTCGGCTGATAGACAACACATCAGCGCACTTAGAAAGTATGGGATGTATGAGATGGCGCGAGCGCGCCTAGCGCCTAGCTTAGCTTCCTCCTCCCCTCTCCCCTCTCCCCCCTCCCTCTTGTCCTCCCTCTTCTCCCAATCCTGCCGGGATGGCCCCCCCCCCCGTCCGTTGCGTGGCGTTTGTGCTGCACTCTTCGTTCGGTCGTGGGCCCTGCCTCTTTCGTTGCCTGGACTTCGTGCCCCTCTCCGCGGCGCGCTCGACGCAAGCGTAGAAGCCCAATCAGAAAAGGATGAGAATTCCTCCCCCCGGCCGGATTCAACCACTGGGCTATCTGGGGATCTGGCCAGATACCTGGACATGGCGCTTCCACGTATCAGCAAAAACAAAACCTCAGAAACCCCGGAGGGAACACTCCAGGACGATTGTATTCTTCTTCCTCTTCAGGAGGAGGAGGAGGAGGAGGAGGAGGAGGAGGATAACGCTACAGGCTCGTACCTGGAGCCCGCGCAACGCAAAAGGGAGCAGGAGGAGCAGGGGATGACGGAGGGCGATCAGCAGAAGGACCCCGACGAGGACGGCGGAGACCCTGCGGGGGAAGGGTCCCTGCGCGTGCCGTGGACCGGCGGCGCAGAGGTGCTGCGCGGCCTCGTCGACCAGGATGTTGCCGACCGCGGTGCCGACAAGGCGCCCGCTTCCCCTCGGGGGCGACAGCAGAACGGGGACTGGCTCGTGGGACGAGGAGGAGTGGAGGAGGAGGAGGAGGAGGAGGAGGAGGAGGAGGAGGAGGAGGAGGAAGAGGAGGAGGAGGAGGAGGAGGAGGAGGGGGAGGAGGAGGAGGATCATTGTAAACCCAAGAGCCACCCACGATGTTGGAATGAACCCTCCCCCCAAGCTCCCTCTTCATAGGCCCCTTCAACGGTTCGTTTCCACAGAAGGACCTGCCTCGTTGGAACACAATCGTTTGAAGACCGGGAAGCATGCAAACACATTATTCTTGGTATTCCCGCGCCACAGGTGAACCTGACAGTTGCGTCTGGGCGATCCAGAATCGTGCCAAAATGCTATTCCTGGGACCTCAATTCCGCGATTCATCGTAACTGTTGCGCCCTCAAAATCGTGAACCCTTCCGAAACATCATTTCTGGCACGTCGGTCATGGGAATCCGTGAAGCTCTTACAAGGTTTTTTAAACAAGAATGTGCGCGGCGCTGAGGCGAGAGCCACATTTGGAACAGGAACCGCCCTCAATCCGTGCAGTTCTTGCAAATTGTTAAATCGAGTGTGCGCGGCGCTGAGGCGAGAGCCACATTTGGAAAAACGTCCCGCCCTCAATCCGTTCAACTCTTGCAATTTTGTTAAAACGAGTGTGCGCGGCGCTGAGGCGAGAGCCACATTTTGAAAACGACCCGCCCTCAATCCGTTCAACTCTTGCAATTTTGTGAAAACGAGTGTGCGCGGAGCTGAGGCGAGAGCCACATTTTGAAAAACGACCCGCCCTCAATCCGTTGAACTCTTGCAAATGTTTAGAACGAGTGTGCGCGGCGCTGAGGCGAGAGCCAATATATCGAAAACGACCTGCTTCCAATCCGTGCAACTCTTGCAAATTGTTACAACGAGTGTGCGCGGCGCTAAGGCGAGAGCCACATTTTGAAAACGACCCACTTTCAATCCGTGAAACTCTTCAAGTTAAAGATGGTGTACGTGGCGCTAAACGGGAGAGCCTCATTTTGACAACGGCCCGCCCTCCATCTGTGAAGCTTTTGCAAATTCTTAAAACGAATGTGCGCGGCGCGAAGGCGAGAGCCACATTTTGACAACGACCCGCCCTCCATCTGTGAAGCTGTTGCCGACTTGTAAGTTTCAGGATCATACATGGTGAGGACGTCTCGGGCGAAACGCCCGGCCCGCCCTAAAAACTGGCCAAGGGGTGCGACAGGGGGAGGTTATTTATAAGGAGAAGGAATGGAGGAGGAGAAGGAGGAGGAGGAGGAGGAGGAGGAAGAGGAGGAGGAGGAGGAGGAACAGCGCAGGTGGTAATTCACGCCATCATGGGAAGTTATACAAGTGTGGAGGTACGTTTGACCCTCCTCTAGGGACGTCTTCGTTGGCCGAGGATCCCTAGAGGGGTCCTCGGCCCCCTCCGGTGGCTATTGACGCCTTCATGCAAAGGTGTAGGGGGGGGGACCCGCGCAGCCCCTATGATGGAAACTGCGCGGGGTGTGAGGCCTATTGACGGTCCTCACGGGTGAGGCCTAAAAACGGTCCTCACCCAGGGGGGGCGAGAGGGAGGGAGCGCGCGCGCCTCTCGCGAGGCATACTATGTTTCGGAGTCGAAGCTGTGCATGCAGTTTGGGGCCCCTTTGTCAGGAATCCCGCCTCAGGACCGTCAGCTGGAGCCACCGCGAAAGGATGCGGAAGGGGCGATTACAAAATGGAGTCCCCCCCCCGCTCGTCATCCGCTGGCAACACTGTCCGTGGCCGTGTTGCCTCAAGCATAATGTCACGCACAAGGACTCACCCACCCACAACCTGAATATTAATGGGTGCTCCAGGGGGCCTTGCCCCGTGCTGTGCGGAGCATTGTCAGCAGCATCGGAAAAGCAGAAAACATGTCGGAGAGCGGGTGGGTATGCTCGCGCACCATGTTGTGGGCGCCTGTTTCACGCAGTTGGAGTCTCCCACCTTGGACGCACTATTGCAAAGAGTCGCACTCAGCAGAGGTCTGGAGCCAGACCCCCAAGTGGGTGAATCCAGCAGCGGGGACGGACAATTCCCTCCGGGCAGCGGGAGGGGAGGCGGCCGGAAGGCGGGAGAGTATTCCCAGAGCGCCACGCCGCCACGGCCGGACACAGCTCGGAAAACAGGGGCGAGGGGCCCAGGGATGGGAGCCAGGACCGCCGAGGCGAACCTAAACGAGAAAATGCCCTTGCGGTTCGGGGGTCGTCCCAGTCTTTGATGAGCACGGGTTAGGTGATGGGGAGCGGGGCCGACCCTCAAAGGCGACGCCGAAGGCGCAAGGGTCGACCCGTCACCCGAATGTGTGGGGTGTGAAACAGGTTCAGCACCCCTTGGCGGTAGGTGTAAAGGTCGGGGGAGGCCAACATGCCATAATGAATAGGAGAACTGACGTTGACAGGCACAGTAAGCCGGCAGGGGAATAAATCCCGTTCGCGGCCCCCGGAGGCAGGGAGGGAGGGAGGGAGGGAGGGAGGGAGGGAGGGAGGAGGAGGAGGAGGGGGGGGGAGGAGGAGGAGGAGGAGGAGGAGGAGGAGGAGGAGGAGGAGGAGGAGGAGGAGGAGGAGGAGGAGGAGGAGGAGGAGGAGGAGGAGGAGGAGGAGGCGGAGGAGGAGGCGGAGGAGGAGGAGGAGGAGGAGGAGGAGGAGGAGGAGGAGGAGGAGAGAGGAGGAGGGAGGGACGGAGGAGGAGGAGGAGGAGGAGGAGGAGGAGGGCAGGGACGGAGGAGGAGGAGGCGGAGGAGGAGGTGGATCTCGAGGCAGGGATCCCCGAGCGAGCAGGAGGAGCGAGGCATCGATCCCCGACCGCCCACTCCTCGCCGAGCCGGGGCTGGGTGCCGCGGCCGGCCTTCCGGCGCGCGGGCTCGCCAGCGGTGCCGACGAGGCGCCGTCGTCCCTCCCCTGGAGGGCGACGGCAGGGGCGGCGGAGGTGGTCTGGCTCGGGGGAGCATCGGGAGGGAGGAGGGAGAGGAGGAGGGGGAGGAGGAGGTAGAGGAGGGAGGAGGTAGAGGAGGGAGGAGGAGGTAGAGGGGGAGGCAGAGGAGGAGGAGGGGGAGGGGAGGGCAGGGAGAGGAGGTAGAGGAGGGAGGAGGGCGCGGGGGGCGGGCAGGGCAGGGCAGGGAGGAAGGGATGGGGGGGCAGGGAGGGAGGGCAGGGAGCGGGGCAGGGAGCATCGATCGAAGAATAGCAGGTTCTATACGCACGAGCTTTTTGAGGTCCGCACAGATTGATCGGATTGGCGCTGGGCCACCCTGGCGGTTCCCCTGACGCCTGCGCCAGGGAGGGGGTTCAGCCGCGATCCAAGAAATCCGCGTGGACCTCCGAAAGTTTCTATTTCCGTATTTCCTTCCTTCCTCTGTCGCCCGCTCCTCGCCGATCCGTGTCTGGGTGCCCCGGCCTGCCCAGGCTCGCGCCCGCTCGCCAGCGGGGGCATACCGCCGATCTAGCCGCATGCATCGTCGATTTCAAGTCAATGTCCCGACCCCTTTGCGCCGCTACCCATCGGTCGTTGAGAGTACATTTTTTGGATTCCCGGGTTCCAGTCTACTTGCAGCGCCTTCCTACTTCAATGATCGAGTGGCTTCACCTTTTCCGTCCTCCTGATGGGGTGGACGGAACCCAATCCATTTTCAACGCCTTCCTACTTCATGTTTCTACCTACATCTTCCGACTGGTGGGTAGCCCCTTCTCAGAACCCGTTGTTATTCCTGGGCGACAGCGTGCGTTACTGGGTGCGGAGGGGTGCGGCGGGCCGGAAACGTCACGTTTCGCGCCTTCGCAGTGTGGGAATGCTTAACAATAACCCAAGCTAGCTCGGAAGTCAGCACGAATTGTGACGTCACTCGGGGGAGGGGCTGGGGCCGATAACAGCCGCTATCGCGAAACATTCAAAACGATCTCTTATCGTTCCTCCTCGAGTTCTCTTCCCCCCTGCAAACCTCGTCCGTTCCGCCTGTCCGGCGATCTTTCGGCGACGTATCGTTGATATCAGGAGGAGGAGGAGGAGGAGGAGGAGGAGGAGGAGGAGGAGGAGGAGGAGGACCAGTGTAAACCCAAGAGTCATCAGCGATTTCGTAATTACCCCCCGTCCAAGCTCTTTCTTCATAGGCCCCTATAACAGTTCATTTCCACTGAAGGAACTGCTTCGTTGGAAGGCAATCGTTTGAAGACCCTGAAGCATGCCAAAACGTTGTTTTCGGGAATACGCCACGGATCAACCTGACTGCTGCGTTTTGACGATCGGGAATCGTGCCAGAACGCCATTTTTAGGACTTCAACACCGCGAGCCAACATAATTGTTGCAACTTCGTGATCCTGAATCTTTCCAAAACGCCATATCTGGTATGTTGATCATGGGAACCCGTAAAATCCCTCAATTTTTTCAAACGAAAGTGCGCGGCGCCAAGGAGAGAGCCACATTTTGAAAAGGAGCCGCCCTCAATCCGTGAAACTCTTGGAGATGTTCAAAACGAATGTGCGCGGCGCTAAGCCAAGAGCCACATTTCAAAAACGATCCGCCCTCAATCCGTGAAGCTCTTGGAAATGTTCAAAACGAATGTGCGCGGCGCTAGGGCGAGAGCCACATTAAAAAAACGACTCGCCCTCAATATGTGGGATTCTTGCAAACTGTTAAAACGAAGGTGCGCGGCGCTAAGGCGAGAGCCACATTTTGAAAACCACCCGCCCTCCATCTGTGAAAGTGCTGCCACTTTTCATGTTTCAGAATCATAAATGGTGAAGAAGCCTCAGGCGAAACGCCCGGCCCGCCGTAAAACCTGGCCTCGGGGTGCGACAGGGAGAGGTTATTTACAAGGAGAAGGGATGGAGGGGGAGGAGGAGGAGGAGGAGGAGGAGGAGGAGGAGGAGGAGGAGGAAGAGGAGGAGGAGGAGGGGGAGGAGGAGGGTGGAAGGGAGGGATGGAGGGATGGAGGGATGGAGGGAGGGAGGGAGGGAGGGTGGGAGGGAGGGAGGGGGGGGGAGGGAGGGAGGGAGGGGGTGCGACAGTGAGACGTTATTTATATGGAAAAGGAATGGAGGAGGGACGGAGGAGGCCTCAGCCAGTTCTCCCTCCCCTTCGGCCCCCCTCGTCCCAGGGTCCCTCCGCCGGGACTCGAGGATTTGGAGCAGGGCGAGCTGAGACAGCTCACCCTTCTCCTCCTCCTCAGCTCAAAATCGACCCCCGATTCCCAGACTCCTGGGGTCCAAACGCACCAGTTTTCCAAGCTGCGCTCGGCTGTGGCGACGAGGCCCCCACCCCCCGAAGTCCAACCACCGTTGTCTCAACTGGACCCCCTCCGAAGGATGGAGGATGACGGGGTTTATGGTGCGAGTAGGAGGAGGGGGTGGAGGATGAGGGGGAGGAGGATGAGGATGAGGAGGAGGCTGATGAGGAGGAGCCAGAGAGCCCGACTGGCAGGAAATGATCATGGAGAGCCTGCGCGAGCACGATCGGCTGATCAGGACGCGCGCGGCCTGTCTTAAGGTGCACGCGTGCATGTTTGTTCCCGTCCTTTCGCCGACGTCTTCCTACTCTCTTTCTCCACCTCGTCCTCCTCCTCCTCTTTCTTCTCCTCTTCACCCCTCCGAGGTGTCATAATAACCAGGAGACTAACATGAAGAATAGTATCAATCATGATACACATGCTACTAAGAATAAAAACAAGAGGAGGAGGAGGAGGGGGAGGAGGAGGAGGAGGAGGAGGAGGAGGAGGACGAGGAGGAGGAGACATAGCATGAGGAGGTGGAGGAGGAGGAGGATTTCCTGCTGCGCCCACCTAGGCTTGAGGTGTAGGTCACCGCCCTTACGTCGGTTACATGATCTGCATTCTGCCGCTGTTCCATTCGCAGCGCCGAAAGCCTCGGTGCTTAGAGCGGTCAACGTTACGGAGGGAGGAGGAGGAGGAGGAGGAGGAGGAGGAGGAGGAGGAGGAGGAGGAGGAGGAGTAGGAGGAGGAGGAGGAGGAGGAGGAGGAGGAGGAGGAGGAGGAGGAGGAGGTAGGAGGAGGAGGAGGAGGAGGCGGAGGAGGAGGAGGAGGAGGAGGAGGAGGAGGAGGAGCGAGGAGGAGGAGGAGGAGGAGGAGGAGGAGGAGGAGGAGGAGGAGGAGGAGGAGGAGGAGGAGGAGGAGGAGGAGGAGGAGGAGGAGGAGGAGGAGGAGGAGGAGGAGGAGGAGGAGAGGAGGAGGAGGAGGAGGAGGAGGAGGAGGGGAGGAGGAGGAGGAGGAGGAGGAGGAGGAGGAGGAGGAGGAGGAGGAGGAGGAGGAGGAGGAGGAGGAGGAGGAGGAGGAGGAGGAGGAGGAGGAGGAGGAGGAGGAGGAGGAGGAGGAGGCGGAGGAGGAGGAGGAGGAGGAGGAGGAGGAGGAGAGGAGGAGGAGGAGGAGGAGGGGCGGAGGAGGAGGAGGAGGAGGAGGAGGAGGAGGAGGAGGAGGAGGAGGAGGGAGGAGGAGGAGGAGGAGGAGGAGGAGGGAGGAGGAGGAGGCGGAGGAGGAGGAGGAGGAAAGGAGGATGAGGAGGAGGAGGAGGAGGGGGAGGAGGAGGAGGAGGGAGGAAGGAGGATGAGGAGGAGGAAGAGGAGGAGCAGGAGGAGGAGGTGGAGGAGGAGGAGGAGGAGGAGGAGGAGGAGGCGCTCTGCCCCACCTCCCCACTCGGCGTCGCGCGAGGGAGTCGCAGTCGCGCGACGCCCGGTGCCGGGCGGCCCTGGACGGCCTGAGGGGCGCGGCGGAGGCGGACCGGGCCGCGTGCGGCGGCGGTGTCCCGGGCCTCGATGCGAAGCTGCGGGACATCGAGGACTGGTTGGTGCGATCGAAAATCTTGCGGGGCGGGAAAATTCGACTAGACGTAAGAGTGACCTTTCGCCGGAGTGACCTTAAGTGCGGGCACGGATGGGTACCCAGATGGCTGAAAACGAAGCAGTAGCAGCTGCTTGCGCACCCAGGTTTGGTCCCCCCGCGGCCCCCAAACAGTCGCGCACCAAAGGTCACTCTTAGTTACCCAGGGTCACTCTTGCGTATAGCCGAAGAATGACCACAGCCACTGCTTCTTGTCTGCGCCGCCTTCCGGCCGGCCGAAGAAGAAGCAGTGGCTGTGGTCAGTTCCCTGGTGCCAAGCTCAACGAGAATGGCCACAGCCACTGCTTTGTTGCTGCGGGCCGGAAGGCGGCATCAAAAGAAGAGCAGTGGCTGTGGTCGTTTTCACGCCCCGTAGTTGGTGCGATCGAAGATCTGCACGAACGAGATGGGCACGGAAAGAATGGGTACGATGCTCAACAGCAGCTCCTGTTCACTCTGAGCAGGAGGCGCTGTCTGCGTCGCCGCGGCCCGTGTCCATTCGAGGCAGGAGGCCGCCTGCCCAACAGCTGCCGCCGTTGGTTTGGGACACCATTTGTTGTTGGGCATTGTGCCCATTTTTTCCGTACCCACTTCGGGCATCCAAAGAAGTGAGTGCGGGAAGAATGTCGGGAGGGGAAAAAACACAGACACAATTGATCGTCGATTCCTAGGAAAATATGGGAAAATATGGGAATGTGGGGGGGAAGACAGAAACCCAGAAAGTATGGACAAATATGGGGATTCTTGCTGTTTGTGTGTACTTATTTGTGTGTGTTGTGGGCCCCCTCAGAATGGGCAGGAGGACCGACAGCAGATCTTGTTCACCGAGAGCAGGACTTGCTGCCGGTGTCTCCGCGGACGCTTTCCACTCGAGGCGGGGTCGGCGGTCCAACAGCGGCCGCTGCCGAATTTCGACAGCATTCGTTGTTGGGCATCGTGCCCGTCTTTCCGTACCTACACTGGGCGTCCAAAATTCGGGGCGTCCACGATCCGGGGAGGACATTGATAGCACCAGAGGCGTGGTCGAGGAGCAGGAGGTCGGTTGGGCAAAACGTGTGCTCCTCGGCAGTCCCAGGGGCCCCAGGACCTCGAGGACTCGGGCCAGGGGTGGGAGCACGGCCGTGTGCGCCGTAGCGTTTTTCCCAACCATCCTGTGGTGTTGGCCGCTCTCCTCTCCTCCTCCTCCCCCTCCTCCCTCCTCCCACAATCAGCATCATCATCATCATCATCATCATCATCATCATCATCATCATCATCATCATCATCATCATCATCATCATCATCATCATCATCATCATCATCGTCATCGTCATCGTCATCGTCATCATCGTCATCGTCATCGTCATCGTCGTCATCGTCATCGTTCATCGTCATCGTCATCGTCATCGTCATCGTCGTCATCGTCACTGTCATCGTCATCGTCGTCCTCCTCATTCATCATCATCATCATCGGCATCGGCATCATCACATCATCATCATCAGCATCATCATCAGCATCATCATCATCAGCATCATCATCATCATCATCATCATCATCATCATCATCATCATCATCATCATCATCATCATCATCATCATCATCATCATCATCATCATCATCATCAACAGCGACAACATTATTGCCGTCATCATCACCATCTTCGCCATCATCACCATCATCGTCATCCTCATTAGCATCACTGTTATCGTCACCATCATCGACACTCATTTCGGCACATCCCTCGCACCTTTCTCGTGGCCCCACAAGGACTGTCTCACCATCGCAGGGCATGCTGGGGTCCGGGGTCGACGAGACGGGGGCCTATTTTGGGACACATGAGCGCTACTGCACGCAAGCGTCAAAGCCAAAGCGGCTATACACGGGCCGGGCAAGAGAGGCGGAGGTACGAAGAGGAAAGACAGGGGGGCCCATCCAAGTCGCACTTAGGGGTAGGGGGGACAGCAGGACTAACTCTCGCGGACCGAAGCCCGATCTCGGACCCGGGCCACTCGCCTCCTCCTCCTCCTCCTCCAGTCCCGGCCTCGCCCGCCAAGCGGGCATCGACGCCCTTGACCTCCCCAGGTTCTGGGGCGCGGCCGATCTCCGGTGGGCGACGGGCGACGACGACACGAGGGAGGGGATGGGGAGAGAGAGAGGATCGAAAGAACCCAAGACACCCACAGGCCCCTCCACGGACACACAGTTCAGACCCCGCCCCGCGGTGGTCGACACGAGGTAACAAGGCTCCCCAGAGCCTTTCCCACCCTCGTGAGGCAAGGAAACCAAAACTTCCGTGGGCTCCTCGGAGCCCTCCATAGTCGCAGCCTGCTCTATGGCTCGACGACTCGCACCTCTTGATCGGGACTTCAAAGCTTCATTTAAAGATCTCTCGCTCAGGTGACCGTGCTCGTCCACCAGGACTAGACTCCCACGACAGAGCAAGTCATGGAGCGCCAGGTTCCCGCGCCCTGGGTCCATCTTAGTCAGAGGGTCGGCAGGCATTCGCCCGTGGGGGACCCAACGCACACGCGAGCCCACAGCAGCAAGGGAGTCTCTGATCACCGCAAGCTCCACCGCATTGCGCCTGTCCGCTCGAGATCCGGCGGAGTTACGCGAAAGCGTGTCAAAAACCGACTTAGCATCGACCACAGCGAGGCCCTGTGCTGCCTCGCTGAGCTGGCACTGAGACGAGAGCATGACTGAGAAGGGCGCCTTGGCCCTAAACCACTCAGGTCGCGGCACATCCCCGAAGACCGAGTCCCTCCAGAGGACCTGCAGCCATTGGGCCTCGGCGGTGGCCCCCGACAGGGCCAGAGTCTCGGCAGCCACAGTACTAGCCACGGCACGCTTAAGTCGCTGTGACCGCCAGGCCAGCACACTCACCTTAGCTCGCTTATTCGCTCTGATCGAAGAGTCGGCAGCCATGATGAGCCATGCTCCCTGAGCGCCTCCTCTGCGGGCTGACCCAGGGCCGCCCGCATCACTTGCCGTAACAAAAACGAGTGAAAGCGGGTCGAGAGACCAGATGGTGAGCTTTTGCTCAGCAGATCTTCGAAGAAACTTTACCGTTTTGATCAACATAAGAGCGTCGGCAACTGTCGGCTCGGGAAGGGCCGCAGCTAACAGGGATGCTGGTCCCGCCACGTCTGGGCGAGATTCACGAGCAAGCCACTGAACCTGTGCCACCACCGTGCGAAAGGAAGCAATCTCATCACGAATGAGAGGTGAAGAGGGCGAACTCCTACGCTCACGATCGAGATGCATCAGCGAAAGCTGTTCACGCACGTATTTTTCTTGATCTATGGTTATTCCATGTGGAAATTGCTTCAATCGTCGCCCGGCGTACTCTGAATCTTCCTGCTTCCACTTGCCAAACTTAAAACGATCGCACAAGGCCGTGCGGAGGGAGGACATGGACGCATCCGTGCCGGCCACTATAAGGTCGTCCACTTCAATTAGAACCAGAGACTCGAGCGCACCCGTCGAGGCCCGCTTCAAATACAAACAAGGTTCCAAGAGCGATTTCACAAACCCAAGAGTGCCCAGAAACTCCGTCAAGGTTTGATGCCAGAGCAGCGGGGCATCATTCAAACCATAAACCAGGGCCACCAACTCGATAAGTTGATCTGGCAACAAATCTAAACCCGAACACGGCTCCACATAAATCGTTCCATTGGGCCTGCACAACCTGTTGCTTTGACAAAACGCGTTCTTAGCATCGGCTACATTTAGAATCCACCCGAGAGACGCTATGATCTGACAAACCAAAAGGATCGACTCAGACTGAGGCGTCGGAGCATACACCGCTAGGGTGTCAGCGTCTGGGTCCTGATGGCCATGTACACACCATCGAGACTTGGCCTTAGCAGCTGATCCCACGCCTTCGGTCGGTTTGAATCGGCGAACCATTCTCGATGACATGATCCGATCTGGAAACCGTCTCCGAACGCTCCTGGACTCTTCAACCGAGAGCACCCGCACGGCTCCTGACGAGACGATGGCGTCCCACTCGGCCTGGTCAGAGTGGATGAACTGTTCCCTCTCGGCTGGGGTCAGCTTCTTGAGACAGACCTCGGCTCCCCGAGGATTGTTAGGCTTGGCCTCGGCCGCACCGGAGAAATCAGGCTCAAGCCCGAAAAACGAAAGGAAATCAGGCGACCCAGAAATCTGGGACCAGTCACGCAGCTCGTCCAGCAGCCGCTGGTCTTGAAAATCGTCGGGCTCCGACCAGACCGCATAACTGACGCCATCCCCAGCCCCAGAGTCCTCGGCCCCCTCACTAGCCTGCCTTGGGCCTGTCCCAGGAGACGATTCGAAAGGAGCCGATCGACGAGCCCTAGGCTGGGACACCGATCGCAAGGTGGGGGCCCGACCGTACACCCGGTTGGCGTAAGGAGCTTCTGGAGGAGGAAGAGCTGGCACCTCAGCAGCCTGATCGGAACCCTCGATCTCCCCTATCATGTGAGCAACGCGCGGAACTCCTGCCGGCAGCTCCTCAGCAGGGGTCCGTTCCAGACGCGGTCGAACTGGACGCTCGGAAGAAGAGTCGTTCGCCTCCGAAGCTGGCCTCGCCTGTCCCCTGGCCTCGTCGAGGTCAGGAGAAAGGTCAAAAGCTCTTGGCTCCGAGGGGGAAGGACCTGGATCCTCACGAGCCTCCGAGACCTCGGTGCTGATGGCCCTCGCCATCGAAGGCTCTGACGGCGGAGACAGAGTAGTTCCCTCATCTTCCCGACGCGGGCCCAGGGGAATCTGATGCGAGATGTCCGGAGCGGTAGCCGGAGCCAACACCCTGGAGACTGGAGAAGGGTCGACCCTCTCCTCGGCACCCCTCCTGTCCCAAGCTTCCGGCGGGGGTGGGCCCTCTGAGGCCACGTCCACCGCCCCAATCCTACGTCCTGGGGCCCGGACCTCTTCCCGAAGCTGGTCGAAACGGGCCGTGTCGAGAAGCTCAGCCCCCAGCGATTCTTGGCGAGTCGCTG